AGACGCATGGAAATAAGACACATAGACATGAGACACATGGAAATAAGACACATAGACATGAGACACATGGAAATAAGACACATAGACATGAGACACATGGAAATAAGATACATAGACATGAGACACATGGAAATAAGATACATAGACATGAGACACATGGAAATAAGACACATAGACATGAGACACATTGAAATAAGACACACATCATAAAGTCACATAGTTTTGAGACACAAGGACATGAGACACATGGAAATAAGATACATAGATATAAGACACATGGAAATAAGACACGTAGCAGAAAGTCACACAGTTTTGAGACACAAGGACATGAGACACGTGGGAATGAGACACATCCTATTACTGTATAACAAGACTTGTATTTAGCACTGACACAATTCCTAATACATGCCTTACAGTTCTGACGACAGAGCACGACACAGACAGAAATTTTAAAAAGAAATTTTGAGGGGTGGGGGGTGACTATGACCCCTACTCCCCCCATCCCTTAAAATAAGGCACGTTATCCTTAGCTTTAGAGTGGAACCCACAAGGGGAGAGAAAAAGGGATAACATTTTAAACTTGAGAAGTATCAATCGAGAGGGTGATGGTGGATGCTGGAAATGCATGGGACAAACTAAAGAGGAAAAAAAAAGACGGGCATTATTTACTTTTGTATGGCCACTAGGCTGAATAACGAAGCTTGAATATATTTTATTTTCATACAAGTGTTTGCGAAAGTTAAGCACGGGTAGAGATCAACACTCAAAATGTGAATATTTGTGATTGAAAATATTCTTTAGTAAATTTCAAAATAAGAGTCACAAAATTTATATTCAATTTGCAATATAGCAAAATTTAAGATATTATTATTAGCTTCTTATAAATGTATCGACTCGGCAGTAGTTCTAGTTTACATTTACACTGACGAACTTGATTCAGTTGAACACGGCTAATGTATTGAAAGAAATACAGGGACTGCTAGTTCGTATTTAACCAGGCGAATGTAATTCATTTCATTGCGCCAAAAGTAATTCTTATCAAGGCGAATGTAAATCAGCATTTTCTTACACGGGAGAAACACACAAGAAGAAAGACATGATATAGGACTTGCAACAATGCCAAAAACAGGAAAAACTGCAGGACCAACACAGTAGCAACAACAGGACCAACAGCAGGACTTGCAAAAAGACATTAGCAGGACTTGCAACTAGTCTTGCAATAGGAACTGGAAGAGGACCTTTATAGGACCTGCAACAGGATTAGCTGAAGTACAAACAGCAAGAAACAGAATCATCACTGGAACTGTAAAAAGATTTAAAACAGGACCCTCAATAGGACTTCGATCGGACCTACAAAAGTACCAGCAACAGGACAAACAGCAGTATCAGCACCAGGACCTGCATTAGTACCAGCAACAGGACTTCGATAGGACCTGCAACAGGACCTGCAACAGGACCTGCGACAGTACCAGCAACAGTACCAGCAACAGGACCTGCGACAGTACCAGCAAAAGGACCTGCGACAGTACCAGCAACAGGACCTGCAACAGGACCTGCAACAGGACCTGCAACAGGACCTGCGACAGTACCAGCAACAGGACCTGCAACAGGACCTGCGACAGGACCTGTGACAGTACCAGCAACAGGACCTGCAACAGGACCAGCAACAGGACCTGCAACAGGACCTGCGACAGTACCAGCAACAGGACCTGTGACAGTACCAGCAACAGAACCTGCAACAGGACCTGCAACAGTACCAGCAACAGGACCTGCAACAGTACCAGCAACAGGACCTGTGACAGTACCAGCAACAGGACCTGTGACAGTACCAGCAACAGGACCTGCAACAGGACCTGCAACAGTACCAGCAACAGGACCTGCAACAGTACCAGCAACAGGACCTGCGACAGTACCAGCAACAGGACCTGTGACAGTACCAGTAACAGGACCTGCAACAGGACCTGCAACAGTACCAGCAACAGGACCTGCAACAGTACCAGCAACAGGACCTGTGACAGGACCTGCAACAGGACCTGCAACAGGACCTGCAACAGGACCTGTGACAGTACCAGCAACAGGACCTGCAACAGGACCTGCAACAGTACCTGCGACAGGACCTGTGACAGTACCAGCAACATGACCTGTGACAGTACCAGCAACAGGACCTGCAACAGGACCTGCAACAGGACCTGCAACAGGACCTGCGACAGTACCAGCAACAGGACCTGTGACAGTACCAGCAACAGGACCTGCAACAGGACCTGCAACAGTACCAGCAACAGGACCTGCAACAGTACCAGCAACAGGACCTGTGACAGTACCAGCAACAGGACCTGTGACAGTACCAGCAACAGGACCTGCAACAGGACCTGCAACAGTACCAGCAACAGGACCTGCAACAGTACCAGCAACAGGACCTGCGACAGTACCAGCAACAGGACCTGTGACAGTACCAGTAACAGGACCTGCAACAGGACCTGCAACAGTACCAGCAACAGGACCTGCAACAGTACCAGCAACAGGACCTGTGACAGGACCTGCAACAGGACCTGCAACAGGACCTGTGACAGTACCAGCAACAGGACCTAGCAACAGGACCTGCGACACTACCAGCAACAGGACCAGCAACAGGACCTGCAACAGTACCAGCAACAGGACCTGTGACAGTACCAGCAACAGGACCTGTGACAGTACCAGCAACAGGACCTAGCAACAGGACCTGCGACACTACCAGCAACAGGACCTGCGACAGGACCTGCGACAGGACCAGCAACAGGACCTGCAACAGGACCTGCGACAGGTACACGCCTCCTGCAGTGAATGCACCGTCACGCATGACTACACACGGGGACCAACACCACTACAGCATACCTTGTCTGTTGCTAGAGCGCCCTGATTTCACACACTGAGGTAAAAAAAAAAAACCAGAATGGCGTCGTGACTGAACCATAGAACGATGGTACGAATGGAATATTTTTATTATTAGCACAAACCATGTGTGTTATCTCAACACACTTGTGTGCTTCACGCAAACACGGAAGTGTGTTCTTTTTATAACATTAGTGGTCGTGTTTTGGTCGTTATAAGAGGATGAACAAACAGCCGGTCTATCAAACCAGTCGATGCCTCCTTATATACTCCATTACATAACAATATTTACATATTCAATTATGTCGCATTACCTAGTGAAAACTAGGGGGGGAGAGGCTTTATATACCTATGTATAGTTATTGTGGACCGTTATTTAGATGTAAACATACCTCGTATACGATATGATCCTATATATGATCGAATACAAGTAAAATATATATGTTGAAATACTGCAGTTCCTTAATGTTTAGAAATCACAAAGAACAGTTTCGTATAAAAATGCGAATGTTTATGATAGAGTTCTAGCTTATTGAAATTATTGGAAATTGGAGATTTTTAAAAATCGAAGTATAGGCCCTACTAATCAGATTAAAACTTGAATCGTGAGGTTTCGGTGTTGTAAACTTAACAAATGGCTTTCTAGTGGTGATCACGTGGTTCCCGCTTGTGGCTAGCAGTACATCTACACAACAGTGACAGCTGTGCTATGTAAAAAATAAAAATAGTTTGATGGGAATAAGAAGGCCATAGTGTTTTGTGTAGTGCGACATATGGAATGGTTTTCTTTAGATTTTAGATCTAGTGCCATGTTGGTATAAATATTAGATCTAACTAACTAGAGACATGTTTAAATTAGATCTAATTAACGCCATGTTTTGATTAGATCTAATTAGAGGCATGTATTGAAAATCAAAGCAGTGTGGAGCGAACTTAATCTTTGAGGTTGATAAAAAAAAATCACGCCCACATTTCATAGTATCTGTTGTTTTTTGTCTTGTTTGACTCTAAATAACAGTTTCATTCTGTCTCCTATAGTGTTCTTATCGAGTTCTGTTTTCAAAGGCATTTTCGTTGTTAAGTCTGGATTAGGGTTAGTCTCATGGTTAATGCTCTAGTAGAGATATGAGGAACATAATTGCATTGAATACGTCTATGTAGGTACATATAATTAATTTTGATAAAAATTAGGCCTACCCTCTCCCCCCTTTTCCATCAAGTGATTGTTACACCTAAGCTGGTATACATACGTAAAACACAGAAAGAGAGGAGGGTGGGTGGGGGGGAAGGCCAACACAAAAATCAATGCATCGTTTAACTTAAAACAATTATTGATCCAGTCAAGATTAGCTAGCGTCTACATTGAACAAAAAAACACAAAACAAATCCCACCTAATACGATAACACACGTCGTGTTTTGGTCACGTGATACACCACACGGCCAACGATTGTTCCAGACGGACACGCCCAGTCTAACAGACCTGAGCAACGCTTGTACTATCACGTAGGTCTTGTGTTTCAACGTTTCCCTGCCCCTCCCACTCCCCCTTAACCACAAGCCGTGTCTATGTAAATACAACGGGTTTTTTTTTCACACGGTATGGGCCTTTTTTTCTACTCTATTTACTTAAAGGATGAAATATGATGTTAAAATATAATTAGAAAAGTTAACGTGCATTAGAAGTAGGTTGTAGTATACTACATTATGTTTTAGTTAGAGATCTTACCCTTCTTTGACTGAATCCACTATATAAAGGAAATTAATTTCTCACAGTAAAAAACCACAAAATATACGACTGTAAAACACTTTAAAATCCTCGGTAAATTTACAACAATTTTATATATATATATATATATATATATATATATATATATATATATATATATATATATAGAGGGATACCCTACAGGCCTATATATATATATATATATATATATATATATATATATATATATATATATATATATATATAGGCCCTACATGTACATTAAAATTACCTTTATAGATGGATAGATATATAACTGAAAGCTAGAAAATAAATACAATAGTCGGAATCTATGATTTAAAGAATCTTACAAAAATCCTATGAAGAACACAGATCAAATAACCAAAGACGACTTATTTAACTCACTTAAATATCCTTCCTACTAATAGGAATCGTGCCGACTACAATGTGAAAAAAAAAGTCACAAACTGGAAACAACAGCGGAAATGTAATTTAGCCAACAGGGCTAAAAAAAAAACACTAGCACAGCACTACACTTGAGATAACACAATCTCCAACACGTCTCGAAATGAAAACGGAACGAATTCACACCTTCCAACATCTTGATAACGAAAGTCTTTTCCCCCCTGTCGCTAATTAACAACACTAGGATGACACCGCTTTGACCTGGTTTAATAGGTTCCGGTCATGTAAAGGGACGTAAGCAATGCGGTTGTGGCAAGGGACGTAAGCACGTCTAGTTGTAAGAACTACGTCGCGATTGTGGTGAATAGTGCTAGGCTTACTGCGCCGATAGGTTGCAGGGGTCGAGACTTGGTGACTCTTCTAGTATTGGAGTTGTAGAACTTGTAAGCTGTTGTTGACGTATTGCAACGGTCTTTTTGTTCCCTGTATTACAACACTCTAAATCTAGGGCTGTTTGAAACACACACACAACTGCTATGGTAGGTCAGTGTGTGTGTGTCGAGGTAGAGTGGGGTTCTGTGTGTGGGTGGAGGGAGTGAGGGGGAGCGGAGTGAAAAGCTTCTTACATTAAGTCACCTGCGATTGACATGTTAGCTACTAGATCTATATTAGAATTAAAATTAATAATTTAATCCAATCCACGATATGACAAAAGAGTATATATATATATATATATATATATATATATATATATATATATATATATATATATATATATATATATATATATATATGTGTGTGTGTGTGTGTGTGTGTCTTTTTGTACTTTTGTACATATTCTATAATGTAATTTTTATGTGCGAACATAAATGTGTTTGTATTATCAGAAGTGAACAGTTTGTGTACATAAATATGTGAATGATCTCTCAACACGTGTTTCGACTGCCAATCCTCAATTACCTTCAACTGCCAAGTTTATTAAAGAAAACATCCTTTACACCTATACGTCTTTACACCTATACATCTTTAAACCTATACGTTTTATACCTGTACATCTTTACACCTGTACATCTTTACACCTGTACATCTTTACACCTATACATCTTTACACCTGTACGTCTTTGCACCTGTACATCTTTACACCCGTACATCTTTACACCTATATATCTTTACACCTATACATCTTTACACCTATACGTCTTTACACCTGTACATCTTTACACCCGTACATCTTTACACCTATATATCTTTACACCTATACATCTTTACACCTATACGTCTTTACACCTGTACGTCTTTACACCTATACGTCTTTGCACCTGTACATCTTTACACCTATACATCTTTACACCTATACATCTTTACACCTATACGTCTTTACACCTGTACATCTTTACACCTGTACATCTTTACACCTATACATCTTTACAACTATACATCTTTACACCTGTACATCTTTACACCTGTACATCTTTACACCTATACATCTTTACACCTATACATCTTTACACCTATACATCTTTACACCTATACATCTTTACACCTGTACTGATTAGTTCAACGATGACGGACTATCCTTCGTGAACTCTGACCTCATTACGCCGTCAACCATGTAACCAGACGTCACGCCGAAGTAGCCCTAATGACGTTATGTTATTGCTATGACGCGGTGTTTAGCGCTATTTTAGACAATCATAAATCAGTCAAACTATTTTTGTGTAAGTTCAGTCGAACTTACATACAACTAAACAAAGAACTTTAAATTCCCTACGATAATGTAGAGAAGAGTGGGGAAGGGGGAGGGGGTATCCTCATTTAGCATTTCGGTACAGTGCAAAGAATAATAATTTTACAAAATACGTTTTTGTTTTTAAAGAATTATGCTATTGATAGTGTGCGTTTTTGTGTATGTGGGGTGTGCGTGTATGTATGGAACTGAACATAACTATGCTTAAGTTATAGTTTGTGTGTGTGTGTATGTGTGTGTGAGCGGGGCTGTGGAACTAATTAACGTTAGGCGGTAAAGGTTAACGTTATAACATGCGTTTGAATCACGAATCTGCTTATCTGTTTTATATCACAAATTACACACACCGATCTAAATTTCCCGTTTACATTCTCAATCTTTCAGTAGCGTTTAATCGCTTAATCCGATTAAACTATTAATTATTCTCAGTACATTTTTTAGAAGTAATTATAGAAAAAAATTTTAAGCTATGGTATCACTACATACGACCAGAAGTAAGCTATGGGATCCTTACATTAGCACCAGAAGTAAGCCATGAGACCTCCCCCCCCTCATCAGACCCGGGCTGGGTCTGGGTTGTGACCCATGAGCACCAGAAATAAAATAAAAACATGAAAGGAATCTTCGAGAAGCTATAAATAGATACAGACGTTGGAGCAGATCTCATCAAAACACGAGGCAAGGTGTGGGAAATTATTCAGGTGTGGGGGTGGGGGTCGTTACAGGTGTGTGTTGTGGAGTGTGGATTCGTAAAGTGGGGGTGGGGTGGATGGGGGTTGTTTTGTTACATGTGTGTGTGTGTGGGGGGGATGGTTTCGTTACAGGTGAGGGGGGGGGGGGGCGTTCGTTACAGGTGGAGGATGTGGTTTCGCTGCAGGTGGTTGGTATCAAGATGTGGTTTTTGATAAATGTGGCAGGTTAAGTTGGTGGGTTATGTGAGGGTTAGTTGGTGGGTTATGTGAGGGTTAAGTATGTGGGATAAGTTGTGGGTTCTGTGGGGGTTAAGATGGATGGGAGGTAACTACAAGATACAGATGGCTTCACATCCTCACATCCGGACGTCGAGTTGAGCAGACGGCAGAAAAAGTAGGCGAGGCAAAGTTGGGAGGGAATCAAATTCCTTAAATAATATCTTTCTAAAAACTACGCCTGACAAATTTTATTCGTAAAAAATGTTGCACTAAAATAAAAATAAAAGAAACACAAAAGTGTTCTCCGGTGCAAGTTTACCTAGGTACATGTTTATTTTAGTTCGTGTTACATTGGTGCGGCTTTTATTTTGGTGCAAATCGTCGGTGCAATTATTTTTGGTGCGCACTGAAGGATCGTTTTTCCAAGTGCATTAAAATGTATATTTGTAATTTTGAGAAATTTGAAAAATTACGACTAAACTAAAATGTCAATAATAATTTATGTGCTAATAACAATTACTTAATTTTACTTCAAGTATAATTCCTATTTTACACATTGTAGTTTATTACAAACAAATTTTATTGTACTTTGAAGTAGTATGATTTTTCCCTCCACCGCAGTTAAATGTGATCGGTTGTAAACTGGGAGTGTTCTATTAGGTGTAGCGAAGCCCCTTGTTTCTTTATTATATTGTTTAATTGTAGGTTATGTTTTAGTAGTTGTTTTATGAATAGCCCTAATGTAATGACTGTAAGTCCACTAACTAGCTACACGTTTCAATAGGAAAGAATAAGTTAGTCGTCCAGCTATTTAAGTCTCCAAGCTGGTAAGGTCATAGGTCATGGAACCCGCCCCTAAGGTTAAGTGTGGTCAGCTGGGGTCGTGTTGCGGTCGGGCGCGGGGAAGGGGGGGGGGGGTTGAAACAAGGCCTGGATAACTTAGGCCAGTTATATGAATGCTGGTCTGGTTACCGTGTGGATATATTTGTCTTGTGTGACGTGTCAAGGCCATACAAAGAAGAACTGCCCGCTATACAAACCGTATCCAACAAGAATATATCGAACAGCTGTACACGATCATAAAACACTGACACCACTTTGGTACAACAGATACATAAAGCAACTTTTTGAATTCTACACAGGTGCTAAGATCCACGTCACACAGTTCATACACGAAGTTGGGCTTGTTGTTTGAATCCTCAATCATATACTTAATTAAGAACGAAGAAGAAGAAGTTCTCCCTGGGATAATAGCCAATAATAGGATAAGTTAAGTAAGATCCGACTTATAGTAGACAATGAGTTCAGTAACAAATAAGAACTAACTAGAACATCCTTTGAACAACAGTGAAGCAAATACATTAAACAATGGACGAACTTTAATCGTACAAATATTTATGACTAACAATAACTTGAAGCAACCAATTTTGCATAAAAACTCTCTTGAAAAACCCTGTTTTAACTCGTGTATAAAAAATAAAGGTTAAAAAATTAACATAGCACCTGACGTTGATGGAGGAGACTTGACACCTGTTGCACTATACACAGACACGCCCCCGTTGCTAGGCAACTGTTGTGTTTTGGGCAATGACAAATATTTGGATCTTGTTAGACAACGTTTGTCATCAGTTATTGTAATGATATGGCAAGTTCACAAAAATAAAAAAAAATTAGTTAAAAAATTTAATTGATAATCTAAACCAAAACATAGAAGACAGATTGAGATTTAGGCATAACAAATTATGTATCGTGGGAGGGGAGGTAATTAAACGTCAATAATGACATAGATTAATCAGTCATGAGACAGCGATGAAAAAAAAAAGAGAAACAAGTAATTTCAAGAGTCAACAACCTCTGGTGTCTGAACAACCTCTAAACAACAACAATTTCGGTTCTATGTGTGTTACAGGCTGTAATAGGAATCTATGATATAAGCCACTAGGTAGTGTGTCATTCCGTCATCGATATAGAATCTAGAAACATAAAAGTAAACAACAACTTCGGTTCTATGTGTGTTACAGTTTGTAATAGGAATCTATAATTTAAGCCGCTAAGTAGCAGTGGCGTAGCCAGGAATTAGTCATGGGAGGGGTTCAAATATTTTTCCTTATGTATACAATCATATATATATATATATATATATATATATATATATATATATATATATATATATATATATATATATATATATATATATATATATATATATATATATATTGGGGTGTGAGTCCATGGGAGGGGTTATAACCCCCTATCCCCACCCCCTTGCCTACGCCACTGCTAGGTAGTGTGTCATTCCGTCATCGCTTTAGAATCTAGAAGCATAAAAGTAAACAGCTTCAGGCTCTAATAGGAATCATCATTATAACCGTCAAGTTTGTGGTAACTTTTACACTTTTCACGGTAACACCTTTCGGTAGAGTGTTATTAGCATATGTACTCAACACTCATGCCCTTAGAATTTTCTAAACAGTTGTCTCAATTAAACCTAATCCTGATAGTAATATATAACCTAATCCAAACTTTAATCCTAACGCCAATTCCAACAATTGCCTTAAACTAATCCCGAGCCTTTTTCTGGAATCCAACCTTAATCCTAACCCTGATCAT